GCGCGCCCCAGGCCTCCCCCCCCCCCCCGCACCCCCCCAACCAGAAGAACTTCTAAAGCAATTTTTCTTCTCTTCTTGCTCCTCTGTCTGTGAAGGGTGCCTGTGCTCCAGATATTTTTTCATGCTTTTGTTATTCTTGAGTTTGTAAATTGTTTACAATTGAATAAAACAATTTGGTAAATAAACTATTTGTTAAATAAATAATGCACAGTCCTACTGATGATATTTAGAGATGGTATAGTTATAGTTCATGCAGTAGCTGATTATGTAGAAACTTTCTTGTGTGTACAAAATATCGTGTTCCAGTCAGTGCCATAGAATGCAGCAGAGGTTAGTAGACTGTTAGCTGTTACTGAATTTGTCTTTTAGTGCAGCTAAGCCATACACAATGAGATACACAAAGAAATACAGAGAATTTCAGGTGACTGCCTTTCTCCATATGGTTGGTTTTGTTTGTTTGTTTTAAGAGAGGTCAAACATCTTCAAGTTTTATAGGGAGTCCTAAATATGGTCCTAATATTGTCATTAAATACTGAGGGCCCTGCAATTGAGATCTGTGGTAATGTTTACTAGAATCTTTCTAAAACAGGAGACAGTTTGTTGATACTTTTTTTTAAAATATCTTGTATGTTAATGAAGAAAGAATTGCCTTAGAATTCTATATTGCTATGTGAAGTTAGAGAGGAAAGAAAATGCAAGTTTGAGAGAGGGAAAACTGCAAAGTAAAAGTGTGAACTTGCATTGTTTGGGGTTTTTTTTGTTGTTGTTCTTGGGTTTTTTTTCTTTTAAGGAACCTAATTTCGAAAGACAATCTTTCATTACAGGACCTAAAATATTATTTATTTAGGTAATATTTGTGTGTATGACCTGTGTACAAGCTCAACACTTGTGTACACCTGTAAAGATCTTGTGCAGAAGACAGGCCATTCAGTAACTAAAGAAGATCTTAAAGAGAGTGAAACAAGGCTTCTGGAATTTTTTTAAAATAAAAATATGCAGAGGAACTTAGCTGAAAGTTACTGAGGGAGGAGGGGAAGAGGCCACCGGCCCCAACCAAAGAATGGTGGTGTCAGGTGATTCCATCCCCACCATAGTTCTTTCTCTTGGGCATCACTAAAACCAAGAATTGTGTCTATTCTGCTGGGAAGCCTTTAGCTTGCTTTGATATTAGCTACTGGTTTTACAGGTCCCTGGGACGTGTTCGTTTATTATGGCAGTGTGCAGGAACTTAGGGAGTTTCACCTTCATTGGAAGGGTATCATGAAAATAGAGAAGACTATCTTTCAATGTCTTTAAAACAGTATTATGAGTTTAAATATATTTGTCACCTTTTGTTTTTTGTCAGTGGATTATCTTATAGCAGCAGCAGCATATCTTTGTAGCTTGTAACAATTGTGATGCTTTTAGGAACTGACTTGAGGAAAAAAATTGTTTTGATCCTTATGTAAAAATAGCTAGATATAAATAATGTAACATATTCTTCCTTTGTGCTCTGTTTTCTCAGTTATATTTAGGTTTTTGAAAGATTTGACCTGCTGTTGTAATTTTCAGATCTTAGACCTCTTGATTTTAGTTGGGGCTGTGGGAGAAACGTTTTTTTTGAGTACTCAAATGCTTATGAGAATTTTCTGCTAACCCAGAGAATGCATTTGACAGAGCATCTAGAAGATGTCTCTTTAGAACAAAAAACTGAAACCAGAAAAGTGTTGGCACTGTTGGATTTTTTTTTTTACTGTTAGTAATGGCGTGCCTTTGCTTTAAAAAAAGGCCCAAAACAACATGCTTTTCTGAAAATTAGATCTTGGTGGTTTTATTTAGTTGAAAATTTGCTCCGTTTTGTTTCCAGACTTGCTGCTGTTATATGAAGGTCTTAATTCTGCTAGTCTTTTAATTTGGTTCTCCTGTTTTGCTGTTTTTGCGATTTCCTTCATGTGTGTATTTTTTCCGTGTGTTACAGAAGTAGAAGAAATAGGGTGGACAGCACACAGCCATTTTTACTACTTTGATGAAGATGCCTGTGCCTTTCATATACTGAGAACTGCCAATGAAAATAGATCCAAAAGCAATAAGCCCGATGCATCAGACCTGCTATTAGAAACTAACAGCATAGCAAATACAATTGCTCTGCTCACATATGTAGTATTTTCAAGTATCCTGCAAAATAATAGGT